TCTGAATAAAACTATTCCTGCAACAGGTACCTATGCCAGCCCAAGAATGGCTGGTACAAAACCAGCTTTATACACTTCTGTTTGGAACCAAATATTGATGTAAAAATATTACCAAATATTTATATGACAGCAGTTCACCAACTTAGTTCCCAAAATCAATTAATTGAAAACAGTATTTCAATATAATACTGTGTAAGTGATGAAAATAAGAAATAAAAGAACACTTCAGTATTTCTATAGGTATCTAATTTACAGATATAAACTTGTATGGGCCATTCAACCCTGATTAAGCTGATCATAATTGATTTCAGGTTACAGATAAGAAAAACATATAATCAACTATTTTATTCATTAGGTTAACATAATATTTATAGTGTTAGATGGCACTAAATGAGATAATGGCTACAATACTCTTAGTTTTACATGTAATGGGCTTTTATTCTGAGTTATTTGCTGCACAGGTTGCATTCACATAGATTCCTCAATATGCTTTTCCTAGAACCTTTTTTACATTTGGGTAGAGATTGTTTATACATTTGTATACTTATGAGACATTACTTTTTCTTTATAATTAAATGAAAATTGTCCCTGAAATCTAAAAGAAAATAGGCAAACTAAATTAATAAAATTTGCATAAGCTACCAGATAATGACTTAATTTTTTTTTTCTCGGAGTTGTGCCCTACATTCTACAGAAATCAGACCTATTTTATCCTCTGGGAAGCCACACTCTCTCTGCCACCCACAACCTTGTGGAGTCTTGTAAACATGTGTCTCCCAGGAGTCCTGATCTCCAGATCAGCTTCTGGGCATTGGGGCTCACCAGCTCCTGACATGCCAGGGACCTTGGGAGGAGCAGCCAGGACCCCTGGGACACCACATGCTCTGCTGCAAAAGGGTATGGGCTCATCTACCACTCTGACACGTGCTGCCAAACAAAGATTATTTCTCTCAGCAATAACTACATTTTAAAAATATTCCTAAATTCCCAAACTCAGCCAAAGGGATGCTCGTCAAGGGATATGAAGCTCTGACAAGTTTTGTCTATCTCAAATAAAATGAAGCCATAGTTCAAAAGGCTGCATATTTTGTGATTAAATACACATGTATGTAAATAATTCTTGCATGTTGATAACGTAGTAACAAAATATCTTCCTCTCAACAGTCTCAAAATGTATTTGTGTTTGGGCTGATACCAAGCATGGGACACTATCATCTCAAGGATTTTTTTAGCATAGTATGACTACATTGCAGAAGGGACTATAATTATAATCTTGACATTACCATAACGACCGTGGTTGCTATCAGGTGACAGGTATTATATAGATAATCAGTAGACAGCAATATTTAATGATGCATGAGATAAAAGAAAATTAATTCATGCCTTTAATTCAGTTCAGAGCCATCATTTGTTAAATCTGCATGTGACTGTCCTAATCCTATTCATATGTACATAATAGTTACATTAATCAACAAAGAGCCAAGCAAGATATCTGCTGTGAAATTCAGAGAGCTTATATTTACTCTTTCTATACAATGAATATCTTTTTTACGTTTCTATTTATCTCTATTTTTAACACAATACAGTTCTACTGCCTTGATTTAATTAGCATACAAAAAAAAAAAAAAGCTAGTAGCCACTAGCTACCAGTGAAAGGTATAAAAATGTCTTTGAAATCAGATGGAAGCAGCAGTGAGGCTGGCTATTTTTTCCCCCTGTTGCAACCTACCAACTCTTTCATTTCATCTGTCCTAGAGAAATAATGCCACAAACTGAGAGAAACTAATCTAGAGTAAGGGGAGATGCTCTGTTGAATGAAAGAGGGACAATTATGCTCACTGGAGGAGTGAATATGACTGAACATTTCAAATCCTGCAAGATTTTATCACTACCTTTATAAAACAGGATTAATTGAAAGAGATATTTTTGTGGAAAAGGACACTCCTGAAATGAAGCTTTTCATTTGTGTAGATGGCCATGTATGAAATGCAACAGAAGACACAGGAGGAGTAATCAAACATAGATATGAAGCAGCACTACTCACATATCTTCACAATATTTCTGGTTACTAACTCTGTTCAAACCTTGGTGCTTCTGTCTCCACAGCGACAACACTGCTACAGCCATCTCACTGAACCTTGGAATGGAAGATGCAAAGTTTATAGAGAATCACAAGAACAGTGTTTAATGAAATTACATCAAACTCAGTGTCAGAGGCTCCAGGCTGAGAAGAAACTGGATATCTCAGCACTGTGGTGCACAGAGGTAAGGGAGACAAAGGGGTCAGAAGCAAACATAGAGGATATGGAATACACATGAAGCAAAGTTTGCAATGTTTTATAAAACAGACTATTTTTCAATTCATCATCTTTGTCTCTCAAGCTCTCCCTTTCACAGTTTTCTCTGTTGCTAATGCTCACTTCGTTGCTTTGTGACTAACATTACACCTCCATCACATCATCAGCTTCAGAACAGATCAGGAGGGATGCAGCTCTTGCCTGAAGCATAGCTGGGTTTTTAATTCTGCCCTCAGACTGCCCCACAGCAGGTGAAGACAGCCTGAACCCAAGGCATCTTTGGTCTTAAGTGAAGCTTTTCAATAACAGCAGCTCTGTTCTTGTTCTGTGTGCCCTGGGTCTTGAGCCACCAGAGCTGATTCTGTCCAGTAAGGATGAGATTTACTTTTCCTTCCTTTGTGTTTCTCTGGTAATTAATACTAATTATGCTTTTCATCGGCTTTCAATTCTAGAGCAGCAGGAAAATCTTGGAAGCAGGAGTGAATCTCACAGTACAGAAAAAAGAGACATTTAAAGGATGCTGAAAAATTTTGGCAGAGGCACATTTTTATTATTCATTATTTCAACCCATTGTCTTACAAGAGGAAAAGTTCAGCATGGCGAAGTCTAAGGTGCTACACAGCTCCCTTGATTGGCTTGAGCTCCCCTTCCAACTGGCAGTTTGCTTTCCCTCTGAACAACTCAAAAGCTTGGCTCTACACTGATGACAAGCCTGATGCATGGGGTTGCAGGTTCGACATCCTGCAGTTTTCTCTGAACTCCAAACAGCTAACCTTCCTGGAGTGGTTATTTTGCCTCTTCAGAGACCCAAAGCTTCAGGCAAGAAAGCAGCCACAAATGTGTTTTCTCGGGATTGTTTCCAGTTCTTTATTTTCAGGAATATCCATGCAGACTGGGTGTAGGGCAGGCTGCACAGGGACCTTTACCATATTGAACTCCTTGACAACAAACAGGCAAGGTGACCCACGCTCCTCAAGCAGAGCTATTTGTCTGTAAGGTCGTGTTTTCCACACCAGAAGAGATCAGTAGATCACCATGTATGGTAACAGATTGGTTTGAATATCTGCATAAATGTGCTTGTTCTGTAATGGCACTTTTAAGTTACTAAGATTGAACTCTTCAGCCGAAAAGATTTCTTCTCCAGCCTTCAAACTATTTTAAAAATTTTCTTTCACATTATCATTTTTTTACACAACCTTATTCAAATGCAAATATCTGTAAATATAGACAAAAAAAATTGTCCACTGCTCTGCACAGTAAAAGCCCAACTTCAATACCTACTCACTCTAAATAGAAATTCAAGTATGTGGGATTTGTCCATCACTTCTTTAAATTCAGTTTACAACTGTCTCCCAAAACTTACCCAGCTCAAGGAGTTGTGCCCTGATCAGCAGAATCAAGAACTTTTCCCTTAGTGAAGAAAATTACAGAAGATACTGAAGAAAGGGGAAGAGAAGGAAAGAAAATAGACTATTACCCTGGTAAAATGATGACAGTGCATGGGAAGGATTGACATAAAAGAGCAAAAAAAAGTAGCTTTCTTAGAAGTTAAACAGTCACGAGAAAAGCTATTTTCGCTGCCATTTGAGAAAGGGACTTCTGAATTTAAAGAATATTGCAATAATCTAGTTATGTGATTTAAGATTAAATAGAAAGCTAAAGTATATGTTGTCACTTTTTTCTTTAATGAAATGCTACACTTAAATGTCTTCATTTGAAAATAATCTGTATGTGGGTTTTTTTAAAAATAGCATCTACTTGGTAGTTAGGAAAAAAAGGTTCACAATGTGCTTATGGCTGACTGAATCTGGAGGTTAGCTAAGATGTTATCTCCTGTCAGCGCTTGTCAGTCCAGCACTGCTGTTGAATGCAGTCTCCACAAGACTGCTGATGCAACTCATACCTTTTTTGATTTCAGAGTTTAAAGAAAATTTGCTGGTGTATGGAATTCTTTGTTAAAGGAAGAAATTGAAAATACAAGTGCATGTTTTTATTTATTAAGAAAAGCATAGAATTGCATTTCCTCACGTACAAAGAATCAAAGAATCTGAGATGTTACTTTTATCATAATCCCAGGCCTCTTCTGGCTTTCAGATTTTTTCTGTGTTGTTTCTCAGGATCAAACTGTTAGTGCCCCTGTCCTGCCTTCTTCATCTCCCCTTGTCACAATTCCCCAGCTTCACATTGCTGCCTGTACTTTTCACACACCTATTGTGGAGGCAGTGATTGCTCAGTACTGGTGGACACTCATATTGCTGTAGGTACCTAATGCCACAAAGCAGCTCTAGGACTTTTTATAACTATTTTGAATTAAGGGTGACTTCAAAAGATTGAATCCAAACTCTAACTTCAGGAACACCCACTGCAAGCTATTTTCACAAATAACCCATGCCTCAGGGTGTTGTTTTGAAGCATCACAATTTTACTTTCAAAAAGTGGGTCCCACATGAATTTCTGCACGGGCAATTCACAAACTGAGTGGCAGATTTATTTGGGCCAAAATACACCAAATGGCACTTGTCAAGCACATAGTGCAACTGGCCACAATTCATCCAGGCTGTTACTACTCCTACCTGCTCTTGTTTCCAGAAGCCCTGAGAAAAGAGCAAAGGAACAGGCAACTATTGCACGTGTACATCGTGGCTGATCTGCACTACTGTAACTCTACTGCATCATAAATTCAACACTTTAATGAGCTCTCACCTCCCATCTAAAGCACATGAAGGCAGCTAATATGAGTCAATGCCAGCCAGTCTAGGAAGGGCAGCTTCAGGCCATGCTCACACAACTTGGCACAACACCAGAGGAAAGGAGCAAATCAGTTCAAGCAAACCTCATTTGAATTGCTGACAGGATTTTCCATCATCTTCATTTACACCTCTTGAAAGAGTGTTTGGCTGAGACATTTTAAAGGACATATCCCTTGTGTCTGTATATCTGTTGTTTGAGCATGACAGAAATTCATGTTGAAGAAAAGTCACCATTAAACTAGCAGAGGACATATAAATCTGTAAATTAAAGCATAGAATGACAGAAAGTGAGAATGAAATCCATTTCCTTAACCAAGAAGCAGTGCCACAGAACCAGGAGAACTTGAGCCAAGCCGAGCTTCCATTGCAATTTACCACGGAGTATTTACAAGGTGGAAATACAAAGATTATGGCTGTAGAACAAGGCATTCAGGACTTTTCAGAGCAGAGAAAACTGATCTTGAGACAAATACTCTTTCTTAATTACTTTAAATTCATTTTTTTCTGCGCAATGTTATTTAGGTCACCTGAGTATATTAAAACAGTCAAATATTTACAGTCAGATGTAATTACATCAAACTTTCCAAGGGATTTCCAGGTGTTTCTGGAATTGATGCATAGCATAAGGATAGCTGTCTAGAGTTTTGAGTTTTGTACATCATAGCATTTTTATACATGTTTGCATTTTAAAGGTGGTCTATATAAAATACAGGCATTTCAGATTTAACTAGCATGCTATCTCACAAGGGAAGAAGCCCAGAAGTTCCAGTTATCTGATGGTTTGGACATTGAATTTGGAAAAATGTTATTGCTTTCATTCCAGACTAATGTGTTCCATAGCCAAAAACAGGTGAGAGGCGTTGTCTAATTGTTTTATCTTAGAGTTTGACTTTTTTTTTTTTTTTGCTTATGGGCCCAGAAATGAGCTTTACCAAGTGTCTCGAGTTCCTTTAGCCATGGTGGGAGATGCAATATGCATTCTTCTGTGGGTTCCAGCCTAAGGATTATTTTGTAATTGAACAGGGTCTTACCCTCGGGTGGCCCTTGGTTGGACTTTATTTTGGAAGTGCACCAGCACATTTTCCAGGATTGGGATAGATGAAGTCGAAGCAGTTTTCCTTCTCCGTTTGCTCCACAAAGACAGCTAAAGCAGAGCCACTGTGATTAGGATGAGATATTACAACAAAGATATAGGGGCTCCTTCACTCTCCAAGATATGTGCACAGTGTTAATAAAATCAATCTTGCATATCTTATATGTTCAATATTTCCTTGCTGGCCCTCTGCATCTTTCTGGTGCCATCACTCAGAGGAACACTGTCTCCAATATGAAAGAAGAAGCTTTCTGTAAAACTCAGACTCAAGGAAACTTGTTTTACTTTCCCACAGGTACTTGAAAGTGGCTAAAGCTGTTTTTGAGATGTTCCTACATTTTCTGGATGTCAATTAAAGAAAAAAAGAATCCTTTTGAGGTCTTCATTCTTTGTGTTTTTCAAATCCTGATCTTAACAAGTATCTCTTCTGTGATTATGGAGATTTTTTATGCCAGGAAACAAAATATTGGTATGGGACTTTTAGATACATCACTGTATCACAGATACCTAACAAGTCTTAGTCTTGGGGAAAAAATTACATTATTCCCTTCTCTTAAAGCATTTTCTGTGAAAACTCAGCAGGTAAAGCAAGCTAAGTGTGCGGGCCATTATAAAATATGGCCAAAAGGCCTTTTATATTATTACCTATCATGTGTCTTTTCCTTGTTATTATCCCATCATTAAACTACCCTCATGAGAGCTCCCAGTTTGTGTCACCCAATGCAACAAACTCTTGTGACAAACTTTTGTACGTTCCCAGGGGTCCATTCTTCTCGAGACAGCACAGCTTAGGCGATACTGCTTGTGGATGCCCACGGATTCAGAACACAACTACCTTCTTGGAGACGCTGTGCCAGAAGGCAAACACAGCACTAAGTATCATCACCATGAGAACAGCAGCAACTGCCTTGGAAAAGAGGAAGGAGGAAGTCAAGCAACAGAGAAGGAAACAGAAGGATTTTAAGAGCATTCCTGGGAGGAATGGGGTTGCAGCACTCACCACCACAGCTTTGGTGTGAGGAGCTGTCTCCTTTCCAAATGCCACACAGAATCTGTTATTTTGTATCTGGCACAGGCTGTGAAATCATACTTCTGCAGTAATATATTTAAGAGAAATACAACAAACTGGTAACTGAACAGGTGACAAGGTTAGATGGGCAACACCAGCCTTCATATTGCATTGTATTTTATCGAGTGCCCATGGGCAGAGACCTTTGCTAAAACAGGCCTTAAAAAGCTTTCAAAACAAAATATCCAAACCAGATCATCACAAAGGTGCGTATGTTTTTGTTTTTAACAGTTTCCACAGACAGCATCATCCTGGAGTTTGCCAGAGAAAGCTGAAGGGGGGTCTTGCATGGAGCACAGATATCAGGTATGCTGGGGAAAGGAAGCAGCTCCCGGTGTCTGTGTGTGCGTGTGTAATGAGACACCTGCCAGTCCTTCACAAACGAACCTTGTGTTCAGGGAGCTCACTTCAAAGAACTACTTTAAATGCTGAAAGAATTACATCGATTTTATAAAAACAAACTTGCATATGTCTCAGAAAGAGCTGTCTAGGTGCCTGTCTCATACTGAAATCTTTAGAGCATAACAACAGTTACGTGCGTTGCCATATTTACCGGTTATCCCAGATTCCTAAATCCAGTGCTTTGGTTGGAGTCCTGGCCGGCTCCTGGGGGCGGACAGCTCCGTGCG